ATATCAGGCATTGGGTTTATGGAGACAAACAAAAAATATTTTCAAATAAATAACTTTCAATTTCCTCTAAAAAAAGTGAAACATAATTCCCAAAATTGATTTCAAAAATTCCCCCTCCATTAATTAAAGATTATTTTTAATTTCACACGCACGCGCTACCTTAGCCAATAAATGACACAGCCCATTGAACTCGAATAATTAGCAAATATTTTATTTCATTATTGAATAAATACAATAAACGTAATTGTGTGCTGAATTTAGCAATTCAGCTATTCAAAATTATATTCAGCAATACAATTGTAAACAAATATTTGATATTTCGATCATTTTCCAGCTATTCAGCTAATTAAAGACAAATCCAGCAAGGGAAAATTTACACTCACATATCAACAAGTAACCAAATTATCGATTTCCATAATGCAATTTCTTATTCAGCTACAACAATTGCAATTCAGCAAAGGTTTTTTCAAAGTTAGTGGAAATTTTTATCATTTTTTTTCTAGAAAAAATAATGCATATTTTGCATTACAAGGCAAATTTTTCCTATTCAGCTAAGAAAAAAGCAAAGGAAATTTTAATATTCTGTCAATTTTTAAGTCCCAAACTAAATTCAGCCAAGAAAAAACCTTATAATATTAACAAATATTACCTCCACTATGCATTTCAGTGCATATTTCCACTATTCAGCTACAAAAATCACAATTCAGCAAAGGAAATTTCAATTTTTGTGGCATTTTTCTACCGATAACCTAATTCAGCGAAAGAAAAATAAGATTTTCTCAACGATAACCATGACATCTGTGCATTTTAGTACATATTTCCACTATTCAGCTACGAAAATTGCAATTCAGCTAAGAAAATTTCCATATTTGGTGGAATTTTCTTCGTAAAACCTAATTCAGCAAATTGAAACTTGCATTTTCTTAACGATGACCATGCCAACTATGAATTTCAGAAAGCGTTTCTCCAATTCAGCTACAAAAATTTCAATTCAGCAAAGAAAATATCAATTTTTGGTGAATTTTTTCAACCAAAACCCAATTGAGCAAAGGTATAATTAAATTTTCTTAACGATAACCATGCCATCTACGAATTTTAATACCTTTCCTTCCTTTATTCCTTTATTCAGCTACAAAAAATGCTATTCAGCTAAGGAAATTTTAATTTTTCGTGAATTTTTTTAATCAAAACCTAATTAAGCAAAGGTAAAACTGAATTTTCGTAACAAATACCATGCCTACTATATATTTCAGGACGAATTTTCTCTATTCAGCTACGAAAAATGCAATTCAGCAAAGAAAAAATTAATCCATTCTAACAAAAAATTAACTTTACTTTACATTTTGAGGCATAATTCGCCTATTCAGCTGCGAAAAATCGAATTCAGCAATAGAATTTGCATATTGAGCTACCAAAAATCTAATTCAGCAGGAAAAAAAGTTGTTCAATTAAACAAAAATATGTTATAATTTCAATTTAGTGAAATATTTATATTATAGCATATTTTTGCTATTCAGCTAAGTTAAATGTAATTCAGCAAAGAAAAAAGTTGCTTAATTTATGAAAATATGCCCATAAAATGTTATATATGCTGTATTTCATCAATTCAGCAAAGTTAAATCAAATTCAGCAAGGAAAAAGTTTACTATATTTACAACAAAAGTCATATCTTTAGATTCTGCATTGTATTTCCCCTATTCAACTAAGTTAAATCTAATTCAGCAAGGAAAAAATGGCTCAATTTAAGAAAAAAAATTCATCTAATTTGAATTTAGTGAAATATTTACCCAATTCAGCTAAGTTCAATATTATTCAGCAAGGGAAAAAGTAACAAAATTCAACAAAAACTACTTAATATATAAAGTTTATGAGTTATTTTATCTATTCAGCTATGTTAAATCTAATTCAGCAAAGAAAAAAGTTGCCTATATTCACAAAAAATAACCTAACTTCACATTTTTCAGCATATTTTCTATATTCAGCTACGGTAAATCTAATTCAGCAAGGAAAAAAGTTGCTCAATTTAATAAAAACGAGTTAAATTACAATTTTTATAAATTATTTTTCTTATTCAGCTAAGTTAAATATAATTCAGCAAAGAAAAAAGTAACAACATTTAACAAAAATGAGTTAAATTATTAATTTTGTTAATAATTTTGCCTATTCAGCTAAGTTAATTCTAATTCAGCAAAGGAAAAAGTTAACTACATTCACAATAAATAACTTAACTTCATATTTTTCAACATATTTTCCATATTCAGCTATGTTAAATCTAATTCAGCAAAGAAAAAAGTAGTTCAATTTAACAAAAATCAGTTAATTTATAAATTTCATGAATAATTTTCGCTATTCAGCTAAGGTAAATCTAATTCAGCAAAGAAAAAAGTAAACTATATTCACAAAAAAATACCCAAACTTCGTATTTTTCAACATATTTTCCCCATTCAGCTAAGTTAAATATAATTCAGCAAAGCAAACTTTTGCCTCTTTCAAACAAAAATAATCTAACCTAAGATTTGGCTAAATATTCTCGCTATTCAGCTACAAATTTTTTTCAAATTATTGATCCTTAAAGGCCAAAACAGCAATATTTAAGATTTATCACCACACTAAGCCAACTTTATGATCCTCACTTCCAGTGCGTAGTTTAATACCATTTCATGACTAAGTCTCGAATTTACGACATGTACAGCTAATAATTTTACAAATATATGTGCATAAATAATTAATTTCGGGATTTGAAATAATTCGAAAAAACAATTTTCAATTAAACAAAAAAAAACAATCTTTTGTTTGTTCATGCTTTTTTGTGAACAACAAACTAAGCGCCACAGTAGTAAGCTTTCCTCTCCCCAGCCTCCCTTTCTCACTCTCACTGGCTCTCTTCACTTCCATACGAATTGAAAATCTCGTATTGTACAAATAAATCTCTGTTGGTGTGTGCTGCATAATCAGTTCCTGTTTACCTTCGCTGCAACAAAGCAGAAAACCAACAAAAACGTGTAAACAACAAACAACATCAAAAATGTCTATATCTCACCCTCTCTCTTTCCCTCTCTCGTGTTTGTTACAACAAATGACGTTTCAATAAACTGCAAATGTTTTGACACAATTAGAATACGCAATAAATTTGTCAAACTCGGACAATAACATTTTTTTATTATTATTAACCACAACAACAACAAAATTGAGATTCTCTAGTCAGCTGGATTATGAAAAAAATACGCAGACATTTTGAAAGTAATAAAAATTTGAAGTGAACTTGAAAACTGGAGACAACATATTAAACAAGAATATACATTAATTTTTGATAAGAAAAAAATAAAAAAAAATATTTTTGAAAAAATAAAAACTTTGCTGAATTACATTTCCCGTAGCTGAATAGAATATATATTCTTTGAAAAATATTCTCAGTACTATAGAGATTCAAATCCATAATTATTTTTTTCTTAGCTGAATTACATTTTTCCTTTGCTGAATTAGATTTAAAGTAGCTGAATAGCAAAAATATCCCTACATTTGGTATTTCAAAGCTAATAAATTAATAAATAACAATTTTTAAAAATTTTACTTTGCTGAATTCAACTAAACTTAGCTGAATAACAAAAATATTACCCATAACACAATCCTAAACCTTTGGGGAACAATTTCTAGTAATTTTTTCTCTGCTGAATTGAATTTCAGCCCTCAAAAATTGAATTTTTAGAATATTTCGTTTGCTGAATAAGATTTTCAGTAGCTGAATACAAAAAATGTTTGTTAATTTTGCATTAAAATGCCAGTAACAATCACATTACAATAAGATTTTTTTAAAAATATCATATTTTTGGAAAAAATATTTTGCTGAATTCAATTTAACTTAGCTGAATAGCAGAAAAATCACTTAAAACACATTCCTTAATCCATAAGGAACAATTTGCATCCACTTTTCCTCAGCTGAATTGCGTTTGAATCACCAAAACAGCAATTTTTCAATACATTTTCTTTGCTGAATTCGATTTCCTATAGCTGAATACACTAAATGTTTGTTAATATGATATTACAAATCCTTTTTCAATCATATAAATATATAATGTATTTAAAAATCTCAAATTTTTAGAAAAATATTTTGCTGAATTCGACATAACTTAGCTGAATTGCAAAAAAATCACTCAGATCATAATCTCAACTCCAAGAGGAACAATATCCATGCATTTTTTCGTAATTAAATTACATTTGAGACCTAAAAAATTAAATGTTTTGCACATTTCCTTTGCTGAATTAGATTTCCAATAGCTGAATACAAAAACGTTTTATTTACCATGAAAACTACAATCATATGGATATTAAATTTATTTTAAAATCTCAAATTTTTAGAAAAATATTTTGCTGAATTCAGCTTAACTTAGCTGAATAGCAGAAAAATCATTCAGATCATAATCTCAACTCCAAGAGAAACAATATCCATGCATTTTTTCGTAGTTAAATTACATTTGAGACCTAAAAAATTATGTTTTTTGCACATTTCCTTTGCTGAATTAGATTTCCGGTTGCTGAATAGCACAAAATTTGTTTGTATCATAATCTAGAGGGTCTTTGGAAGAATTTGGTGTATTTTTTTCTTAGCTGAATTCCTTCTAAACTTGGCTGAATATGAAAAAATATTTTTTTTCTTCATTTTTTATTATTTCATTAAATAACAATTTAGAATTTTTTATTTTTTAATTTGTATCTTGCTGAATTTTGCTTTTTTCCCCAGCTGAATAGTCTCAATTTTATATTTAAATAATTTATTTATTTTTTGTTGTAATGCCAATGATACTTGAATTTAATCAAATTTAATTCTGTCTAAGCTTTATATTAATTTGTTTGACTTTCTCTCTCCCTCTCTCTTTGCAGATCATTAAAAACCTCTTGTGAGACCAAGTCAACTATTTGATTTTCTCTGTTTTGACGAATTTAAATAGTTGTAAAAACAAACACACACACACATACTTGTGGTTGTTCTTCATCTTGCTGAACTTTTAATTTTATTTGTGTTGTTGTAATTTTTTTGTGCGGAAGCCGCCAAAAAGGAAAAAAGCAAAAACAAACGAACTCATAGAATGGTAGAAGGTGACTCTAATAAGAACTCCAGTAACTGTAAGTAGTTGTCAAACGCACTCACACACACACTCTCTCTCTTCTCTTGTGTGATATTAATACATTGTTTTCGTTTCTCTCTCTCTCCAGCCTATAATGTAGAAAGTGGCCTACAACCAACAAACTACAACCAAACAACAAACCCCGTTGACAATCGCTCCATCATCCAACCCTACGGCTTGGGTACCGATTCCAAGGATCTCGGCTATCACATCAATGACGCCTATGAAGTCGACAAAAATGATCTAGAGAAGAATGGTGGCCGTTCGGCAGCCGGCGGCATTAAGGCCGGCTTCGAACAGGCCATTGAAATGTGCGGCTATGGCAAATTCCATTACATTCTGCTGGCCATTTGTGGTCTGGTCAGTACGAGTGAAGAAATGGACGTCATCAGTATGTCTTTCATCCTGCCGTCAGCACAATGCGATCTGAACTTGAATACGGAGACCAAGGGCTGGCTGAATTCGATCATTTTCATTGGTATGATGGTCGGTGCCTACTTTTGGGGTAGCATTGCTGATTCGATGGGTCGTAAGAAGGTATTGATCGTCATTTCTTTTATGAATGGTTTTTGCATTGTCGCCTCGTCATTTTCGCAAACTTACGAATGGTTTATGCTGTTTCGATTCCTGAACGGTGCTGCGTAAGTATCAAACCAACCTCCCGCCCTACCCTACTCCACCCTTCTCCCTCGCACTATAACATCATTATGATTCATCCATCCATCCGAATGTGATAATTTGATTAGCGACTATCTTGAAAAAACGATTTTCAGAATTTATCACATTTTTCAATTTTTGTTGTTGCCTCCTCCCCCAAATAATAATTTTGTTGTTGTTATTCTCCGAAAAAAATTGTAAAACAAATTGATCGAAAAATGGCATGACTTTGCCTTGTTTATGACTAATGAACTGCAAAGGCCGGGATATCTAGCTTGACAGCATAGCTGACTAGCTAACAGACTACCCTGCCCAGCTGCATGACTGTCATCCCACCTAGTGGCTGGCTGCCTGCTTGGTCATGTCATGTAGCCAGCGGTAGTTGTTAATTAATTTGTTAAATTCTGGCAAAGTGTGCCGGCCGGACGAATTCATTTCAAAAAATGGCATGTAACAACAATCAATTCGACAAAACAAAATCACTCAGCAAAATTGAGCATGATCCTGGGTTTGCGTGGTCTCAATGATTATATTTGGACATTTATTAAATAATTAGTCAAATTTACACTTGTAAATAAATTAAAAACAAAAATTTTAACAAATTCAGCTATGGAAAAATTTAGCTGAATAGAAAATTTCGGCAACAAAAATGATCGACAAGGCTGTACTATGACCTCTGGTAACAAAAATACTAAGAAATTTTAATTTCCCGCTAATTCAGCAAAATAAAATTTAGCTGAATAGCGTTATTTGGCCACAAAAATGATCGAGCAGGTTGTACTAAGCATCTGGATAGCAAATAAGCTCTAAAATTTATATTTTTCGTGAATTCAGCAACATAAAAATTTGCTGAATTGGAAATTTTGGCAACAAAAATGATCGACAAGGAATTTTCGGTATCAAAATCGATCTACAAGGCCATACTAACCATCCGGGAGGCAAATACGCTTCGAAATTTTAATTTCCCACCATTTCAGCAAGAAAAAAATTTAGCTGAATAGCGAATTTTCGCAACAAATATGATCGACAAGGTAATATTAAGCCTCCGGGAGGCAAATAAACTTCAAAATTTTGATTTTCTAGCAATTCAGCTAGGAAAAAATTTAGCTGAATTAGGAATTTTGGCCACAAAAAATATCGAAAAGGATTTTTCGGCAACAAAAATGATCGCAAAGCCTTCTGATAACAAAAAAAAACTTCAAAAAATTGATTTTCCACCAATTCAGCAAAATAAAATTTAGCTGAATAGCGAATTTTGGCAACAAAAGTGATCGTAAAGGAACCAAAAATGATCGATAAGGTTATAGAAAGCCTTCTGATAGCAAATAAATATTGAAATTTTAGTTTTTAAACAATTCAGCAAGGAAAAAATTTTGCTGAATTGGAAATTTTTGCAACAAAAATGAACGAAACGAATTTTTCGGTAACAAAAACGATCAACAAGGTTATAGTAGGCATTCTGAAAGCGAATAATGTTCGAAAATTTTGATTTTCCATCAATTCAGGAAAATAAAAGTTAGCTGAATAGCGAATTTCGACAACAAAAATGAACGACAAGGAATTTTCGTAACAAAAACTAGTCGAAAAAGTTATACTAAGCCTTCGAATGGCAAAAAACTTCAAATTTTTGATTTATTGGCAATTCAGCAAATGAAAAATTTTGCTGAATTAGCTTTTGGTAGCATATTTTGTCAATTTTCGATTAATTGAATTATATTCACCGAATAAAAATACATTTTCAATCATTTTTAAACAATTCAGCAAAACAAAAACTTCGCTGAATGACCGATTTCTTTTAATAATGGTTTTAAATTGAAATTTTAAAACATTTTTGTTGCAATTAAACATTGCTGAATACAATTCTAAGTTAAAATTTCACAAAAATTCAAATTTTTGGCAATTCAGCAAAAACAATAATTTCCTGAATAAACAATAACTATCCGATTTTGTTAAATTTCGACTTCTGGAATAATTCTAAGCCATTAACAACCATTTCCGAACTATTTTCAAATAATTCAGCAAAATAAAAATTTAGCTGAATAAGAAAATTTTGCATGAAATTTTGCTGAATTGGCTTTATTTTGCGGGGCAATAATTTTTAGGATTAAAAACCCTTTTTTATATAATTTTCAAGCAATTCAGCAACACAAAAACTTTGCTGAATAAGAAGACTTTGCATGAAATTTTGCTGAATATAATTTATTTGACCTGGAAATCATTTTCCAGGACTAACAACCCTTTCCCCAGTCATTTTCAAGCAATTCAGCAACATAAAAACTTTGCTGAATAAGATAATTTGGCAAGAAATTTTGCTGAATTGGCTTTATTATATCGGGAAATCATTTTCCAGGACTAACAACCATTTCCACATAATTTTCAAGCAATTCAGCAACATTAAAACTTTGCTGAATAAGAACATTTGCATGAGATTTTGCTGAATAAGTTTTATTTCACCAGAAAATCATTTTTCTTAACTAACAACCCTTCCTCCAATCATTTTCATGTAATTCAGCAACATAAAAACTTTGCTGAATAGGGAAATTTTCCAAAATATGTTGCTGAATAGGATTTTTTCGACCAGAAAATAATTTTTCTTGACTAAAAACTCTTTCCCTAGTCATTCTCAAGCAATTCAGCAAATTAAAAATTTAGCTGAATAAGAAAAAATTCCAAAAAAAATTAGTCTTTATTTTAAGGGGAAATATTTTTTTTTAATTTTTTCAGTTAGTTTTTTTATTAAAAGATGAAAAATGAGATTTTCCCTCTCTTCAAAATATTCCTCTCTCTTTACAATTTCATACTCTCATTTTTTGATTCCTTCTCCTTTTTACGATATTTTTTTTAATTAATAATCGTTCTCTTTTTTCTCTTCCTTTTCTCTAGCCTTGGCGGCAGTGGCCCTGTCATCTGGTCCTACTTTGCCGAATTCCAACCGAAATCGAAACGTGGCTCCATGTTGAGCTTCATGGCTGCCTTCTGGACTTTTGGTAATCTCTTTGTGGCCGGTCTCGCCTGGCTCATCATCCCCACTGGCATTGGTTTTGTTACCCCACTCTTCACCTATAACTCATGGCGTATCTTCTTGATGGTCTGCTCCCTGCCCTCCTTCGTGGTGGCCTTCTTGCTTTTCTATTTGCCTGAATCCCCTAAATTCTTACTGTCCAAGGGTAAACAGGACAAGGCTATGGCCATTTTCCGTGGCATTTTTGTGACCAACACCAAGAAGGCTCCCGAATTGTATCCCGTCACCGAATTGGATATCGATGAGAAATTGATGGCTGAAATCCAAGAGGCCCGTGAATCCGTTAAGGGCAAATATTCGAAAATGTTGTCCGGTATGGTGGATCACAGCAAACAGTTGTTCACCTCACCCATTTTGAAATTCACCTTGGTTTCGATTATCATCAATTTCACCTTCCACATTGGTTACTATGGGCTGATGATGTGGTTCCCTGAGCTGTTCAATCGTTTCGAGGAGTATAGCACAGATTTCCCCGGTCAAACCGCTGGTGTGTGTACTGTTACCGAATATGTAGTCGGCAAGACCAATCATGAAGATGCCGTCTGCTCGTCGCACATTCCCTCTGCTGTCTTCATGGAGTCGTTGATCTCCTTGGCCTCGGCCCTGCCTGCCAACTTGATCGCCATCTTGGGTATGGATTTGTTGGGTCGTAAATTCTTCTTGATCTTCGGTACAATGACCGCTGGTGTATGTTCGGCTGCCATGTACTTCGTCTTCAATTCGACACAGAATTTAATTGTCACGGCCGTGTTCAGTGGTGCCATCTCGGCGGCCAATGCTGCCCTGGATTGTCTGATCACTGAGGTGTTCCCCACCCACTTGAGAGCTACCGGTGTTGCCATATCGATGGTGGCTGCCCGTATGGGTGGTATTATTGGTAATATTGTCATTGCCACATTGTTGGATCAATACTGTCCCGCACCCACCTTCATTGTTGCTGTGCTCCTGATGGGCGGTGGTTTGATGTGTCTGCTCTTGCCCAACACAACACGCAAGGAACTGAACTAAAAGGAAAACAAAACGAATTTTTGTCCATCGGAACAAAAACCAATCCCACCCAGAGAGAATTTGTCCGTTTAGAATAAAAAAAACAAACACACACACACACAAATCACAACACACACACAATGACACACATACACCAATCCACACAAACACACACACGCCATACATTGCAGTCTATTCTTCGTCTATCTAGAATTCTGAAATTTTGAAAGAACGGACCCAACGGACCCACATCCTTAACCTCAACATCCGGCTCCACATCTTACACCAAAATTTGGTATTTAAAAAAAAAAAATATTTTATTTAACTTTTTTTGTTTGTTCATTTTGAACATTTTGTTCTTATTATGCTTAGGTAATGTTGTAAATTATATATAAATATATGTATATAATTAAATATATATATACAATACATATATATAGTGAGAGAATTATGCGATATAAAGAAGTATTTAATAATTAATAAATAAATACATTCCGATATGTATGTATTTTTTAAACAAGTAAATAAAACCAAATAAAAACAACAACAACTTTGAAAAAAAAAATATTGGATTTTCTTTTTAAAATAAAGGGGGATAACAAATCGATAACTATATTACAATCGATAAGAAAATCTAATCTTGAAAAGAAAGGCCAATAAAAAAATTCTACAGAAATAAATTTAAATAGAGATCAATAATTTTTATACGAAATCATGTCATCGATAATATTTTCTGTATCACATTTTGTTATCGACAATTTTTTTTTGTAGAAAATTCAATTATTGGTAAAAATTTCAATAGAAAATTTTATTATCGATGATATTTTCAAAAGAAACTATTTTTATTAGTGATTTTTCCTACATAAAATGTTGTTATCGATAATATTTTCTATCGAAAATCTTATTATCGATTATATTTTCAAGAGAAAATAATGTTATCGAAAATATTTTCTATAGAAAATATTATTATCGATGATATTTTATACTTAAAATATTGTTATCGATAATATTTGCTCTAGTAAATAATGTTATCGAAAATATTTTCTCATCCAAATCCTGTTATCGAATATATTTTCCACAGAAAATTTTGTTATTGATTATATTTTCTATATAAAATCATGTTGTTTATAAAATTTTCTATGGAAAATCTTGTTATCGATAAATTATTGAAAATATTTTCTCATCCAAATCATGTTATCGAACATATTTATCGCCGGAAATTTTGTTTTCCATAATTTTTTCTATATAAATTCTTGTAATCGATAATATTTTCTATTGAAAATCATGTTATCGATAAATTATCGAAAATATTTTCTCACCCAAATCCTGTTGTCGAACATATTTTCTACAGAAAATTTTATTGTCCATAATTTTTTCTATATAAAATAATGTAATCGATAATATTTTGTATAAAAAATTAGTTATCGATTATATTTTATATAGAAAATGGTATTAAGTTTTTATAAAAAAATATTGCTATCGATAAGTTTTTCTGCTCAAAATATTGTTATCGATAAAATTTTTTGTATAAAATTTTGTTATCGATAATATGAAAATATTTATCGATAAAATTTGTTCTTCATAATAATGTTATCGAGTATATTATTGGATATATTATCTAAAGAAAATGTTGTTATCGATAAAATCTTAAATATATTTTTTTGTTATCGTTAATATTCTTGCTGAAAATATTTTTATCGATAATAATTTATGTTAAAAATTTTTTATGGATGTTATAAAATCATGTTATCGATGATATTTGATACAGAATATAATGTTATCGATAATATTTTCAATAGAAAACATTGTTATCGATAATATTTTCAATAGAAAATATTGTTATCGATAGCTTTTTTTACATTATAATATTATCGATTATATTTTCTATATAAAATAATGTAATCGATAAAACTTTTAAAAAAAAATTATAATCGAAAAGAGAAAATAGCGTTATCCATTATAGAAAATCGTGTTATCGATAAAATTTTCTAAATAAAATATTGTTATCGATACTGCTTTCATTCGATTTGCTTCTTATTGATTGATATCGATAAAAATTTCGGTAGAAAATATTATTATCGTTCGGATTTTCCATGTTATCGATATATTGTCATGAGAAATTATTGTTATTGAAATAAAAATTTTCTTATCGATATAAATTTCTTAAAAAAAAACCCAGATATCGATAACATTTTAATTGGAAAAAACTTGTTATCGATAATATGTTCATTACAAAATATTGTTATCGATAATATTTTCATTACAAAATTTTGTTATCTATAATATTTTCTATAGAAAACATTGTTATCGATAAAATATTGTGTAAAAATTCTTGTTATCGATATAAATTTCTATAGAAAATCCTGTTATCAATAACATTTTTCGTAGGAAATATTGTTATCGATAACATTTCAAATAGAAAATCTTGTTATCGATAATATTTTCATTATAAAATATTGCTATCGATAATATTTTCTATAGAAAACGTTGTTATCGACCAAATATTCTGAAGAAAATTTTGTTATCGAACAAATATTCTGTATAAAATAATATTGTTGATAAAAGTTTTAATGGGAAATCATGTTATCGATAATATTTTCTATGGGAAATCTAGTTATTGATATTATATTGTATTCAAAATGTTGTTATCTATAAAATTTCTTATAGAAAATGTTCTTATCGATAAACATTTTTCTACAATATCATGTAATCGATAACATTTGTGTTGTACAATCCATAAAATTCCCTGTAGAAAATCTTGTTATCGATTACGTTTTTTATAGAAAATCTTGCTATCGAAAAGTTTTTCTATTGAAAATCTTGTTATCGATAATATTTTGAATATAAAATCATGTTGTTGATAACAAATTTAATTGAAAATCTTTTTATCGATAACATTTTCTATGGGAAAAATCGAAAAAATGTTGTATAAAAAATATTGTTATCTATACAATTTCTTATAGAAAATGTTGTTATCAATACAATTTTTTAAATCATGTTTTCGATAACATTTGTGTTATAAAATCTTGTTATCGATAAAATTCCTTGTAGAAAATTTGTTATTAATTCGTTTTTTATAGAAAATCTTGTTATCGGTAACATTTCCTGTTGAAAATCTTGTAATCGATAAAATTTTCTATAGAAAACCTTGTTATCGGTAATATTTTCTAAATATTTTTATTATCGATAGTATTTTTCAATAAAAAAATTGATTTTCGATAATATTTTCTATAGAAAATTTTTTATCGATAAAATGTTTTGCAGAAATTCTTGTTATCGATAAAATTTTCTGTAAAAAATTTTTGTTATCGATTATATTTTTAATAGAAAATCTTGCTATCGATAAAATTTCTCAAAGAAATCCTTGTTATCGATTACATTTGTAATAGAAAATCTAGTTGCAGTTAAAAGTTTCCATAGAAATCCTTGTTATCGATAAAATATTCTGTTGGAAATCTTGTTATCGATAAAAAAAATTCTACAGAAAATCTTGTTATCGATAAAAAATTCTACAGAAAATCTTGTTATCGATTAAATTTCATACAGAAAATCTTTTATCGATAAATTTTTAAAGAAAATTTTTTTATTTTAATACACAAAAATTAAATTATCGAAATTGTAATCTATAAAAATTGACATTATAACCAATTTTCTTATAAAAAAATAAAATAACCCCTTATAAAAATAAAAACAGAAGTTTTTAATTTTTATACAATTTTATTTGTTTTTATTTTATTTTTATTTTTTTTTTTTTTTTTTGTTTCTTTATTTAAGTTTCTTTAATTAAGACAAATAGAGAACTATTTACATGTAAATTGTTTTAATAATTAATTATTATTTATAGCAACAAATTAAATTTAAAAAAATATATACGTATGTAGAGTAAAATAAAAATAAAAGGATGAATGAATAATAATAGAGAAAAAATACAATAGAAAAAAAAGAGTAATGTAATTTAAAAAAATATATATTTATATATGCTTGGGGTGTATGTATGGACTAATAACAACTAATAAAAGAGAGATTGAAAATAAAATATAAAAAAATAGAGGTGGAGAGACAAAAAAATTAGATTCTCATTAAGTTTTAAAAACCTATGCGTTTTCATCATTATATCATCATAACTATATAAGAATAATTTATTTTATTTTAATATTTTTTTCTTTTATGTCCTTGTTGAATAAAAACATAAATTTTTTTTATATAGCATCAATATATTTTTTTAAGTGAGAGAAGAATAAAATGAACCAAAATATATTTGATTATTTAGTAATTGTTGCTGTTGTTTGGGCCTGGCAGAATATAAGGATAATTTTTTTGGAGGAAGAAGGAGGGAAGAGTTAAAGAAATGATGGTTTGTAAAGCTTTTTTTGTTGTTGTTGGGAAATGCCTAAGAACTAAAATGTGATAGCGCAAGATAAACTAATTTGTTATATAGCCTAAAAGTATGCTTTATTTTCTGTTTAATTAATTACGAAAAACAAATCCTATTTTCATTTAATTTTAACCAACAAAATCTCAATCACTTGGGCTTCTTTTCAATTTTGCAACAAATAAATTAATTTGCTTATCCATTTTCAATTGAAATAAATTTTATTAATTAATAATGCTAAGCATTTATTTATATGAGTTATTGTTAGGATTTTGTAGATAGGTTAATATTGTTCATTGTTGACAATACTCTCTTTTTTTCTTTTTTCCATTTTTTCAATTTTTAGCAATTTCTTTATCCAATGAATAATAAATTTTATTAACATTTTCCGTTTCATTTGTTCTAAAAATTATTTAATTTTTTTTTTAATTTTTCTGTGTGTGGGATCTTCCAAGTGATTTCCTTCCATAGAGGCTGCTGCACATTTTTTTGTTGTTGCTGTTGTTTATTGTTGTTTTCTAGATTAAAAACCATTTCCATGCATTTATTTTTGTTTGTTGGTGTTTATTGTTTTTTCTTTATTTTTTTCTGTAATTATTGTTATAACTATTTAAATTTGTTTTTTTTTCTTGTTATTGTTGTATATATATAGTAAAATGTGTGTTTTGTTTTTTTGTAATTGTTAATTTGTTTCATTTCTTGTTTTTGTTACATATTTTTTTCTTTTGTTTTGTTTTTGTTGTTTTGCTACTCTTGCTTTGCTGGCTTGATTTATTGAATTGAATTATAACGAATTTCTTTTTAATTTATTACCACCATATCGCCCTAGCAACGGTTCATGAATATCTCGTCATTCCAAATATTCCCACCAATCCTTTTCGTAGCCTTCATGCACATGATCTAAAAGTACTGTACATCTCTTCTCGCAATATCTGAAAAAACCACGAACAACGATAAATTGATTTTCTATTTAAAATATTGTCGATAACAAGATTTTCGATAGAAAAAATAATAACAAGATTAATAATAATAAAAAATTTTGATAACAATAATTTAATATAAAAATAACAAGATTTTCTATAAGAAATATTATCGATAACAAGATTAAAGAAAATTTTCGACAACAAAAATTTCTATAAGCATGTTGCGATAAAAAGAGAAAATATTCGATAACAAGATTTTTAAGTGATAACAAAAATTTCTATAAAAAATATTATCGATTAAGTGATTGTCTATAAAAAAATATTGTCGATAACAAAATTTTCGATAAAAATATTATCGAAAACAAGATTTTGGATAGAAAATTTTAGCGATAACTTGATTTTCTTTTTAAAATATTTTTGATAACAAGATTTTGTATAGTAAATATTATCAATAACTTTTTTTCTATGGAAAATATTATCGATAACAAGACTTTTGATAGAGAATATTATCAATAACAAGTGTTTTGGTTGAAAATATTATTGGTTACAAGATTTTCCATAAAAAAAATATTGTCAATAACAAGATTTTCGACAAAAAGTGTGATCGATAAGAAAAATTTCTGTAAAAAAATATTATCGATAACAAGATTCTCTATAGAAAATATTATCGATAACAAAATTTTAGATAGAATATATTATCGATAACAAGATTTTCGGTAGAAAATATGATCGGCAACAAAAATTTCTATAAAAAATTATCGATAAGAAGATTTTGGATAGAAAATAGTACCGATAACAATATTATAGATAGAAAAATAAGATCGATAACAATAATTTTGATAGAAAATATTATCGATAATAACAAGAAAATATTTTCGATAACAAGATTTTCCATCAAAAATATTATCGATAGCAAGATTTTCCATAGAAAATATTATCGATAATAAGATTTTCGATAGAATATATTATCGATAACAAAAATTTCTATAAAAAATATTATCGATAAGAAGATTACTAGAATATTTTCTTCAGGATTGTATATAGATCGATAAAAAAAATATATCGTCGATAACAATATTTTCGATAGCAAATATGATCGATAACAATAAATTCTATAAAAAATATAATCGATAACAAGATTTTCGAAAGAAAATATTATCGATAACAGGATTGTATACAGAAAATATTGTCGATAACACGATTTTCTATTGAAAACATTATCGATAACAACAATTTCCACCGAAAATATTATAGATAACAAGATAGAAAATTATATCTATAACTTGATTTTCTATCTAAAATATGTTCGATAGAAAATCAAATCTAAAATATGGTCGATAGCAAGATTTTGGGTAGAAAATTTTATCGATAACTTGATTTTTGTAGAAAATAGTATCGATAACAAGATTTTATAAAAAAAATATTGTTTATAAAAAATTTGTCTATAGAAAATATTACCGATAACAAGGTTTTCTAAGAGAAATTTTATCGATAACAATATTTTACATAGAAAATACATATATAATTCGATTCTTCGATAATTCTATTGTTTATAGAAAATATTTTGCGATAACAATGTTTCTATAGCAACTACTTTCGATAACAATGTTTTCTATAGAAAATAACTTCGATAACGATGTTTTCTATAGAAAATAATTTCGATGTTTTCTATAGAAAAAATTGTCAACAACAAGATTTTCTATAGAAAATAATTTCGATAACAACATTTTGAATGCAAAATATTATCGATAATTCGATTTTTTATAGAAAATATTTTCGATAACAGTGTTGCCTAAGAAATATTTTCGATAACCATATTTTCTATAGAAAATATTTTCGATAACAATTTTTTCTATAGAAAATAATTTCGATAATTCAATTTTTTATAGAAAATATTTCGATAACAATGTTTTCTATAGAAAACATTTTCGATAACATGTTTTTCGATAGAAGTCATTTTCAGTAACAAGATTTTCTATAGAAAATAGTTTCGATAACAACATTTTGTATGCGAAATATATTATCGATAATTCGATTTTCTAGAAAATATTTTCCATAACAATGTTGTCTACGAAATAATTTTTTATAGAAAAAATATCCGATAACAATGCTTTATACAGAAAATATATTCGATAACATAATTTTTTACAGAAATTTGAAACGAAAAAAGGTTTTAGCATAAAAATATTGCCGATAACAATATTTAGAAAAAAAATTATTTCGATAACAAAATTTTTTATGGAATCATTTTCGATAACAATATTTTTTATAGAAAATATTTTCGATGACAACATTCCCTATCGACAAATGTATCGATAATTAAATTTTATATAGCAATTTTAGCCAATAATAAAATTGTTAATAAAAACCTATATCGAAACAATTTGTTCGATAAGAAATTATATCGATAACAGTATTTTCTACAAAAAATCTTACCGATAACACAATTTTTTTATAAATTCTAGTAGTTAACAATGTTTTCTTTAGAAATTCTTTTCGATAACATCATTATCTAGGGAAAACATTTCCGATAACAAAAAATCCTAAAGAAAATATCATCGATAATAAAATGTTATATATAAATTTTAGTTGCTATCGAAATGTTTTGCATAAATTCTAATCGATAGCAATATTTTCGGTAGAAATTCTTTTCGATAACAATATTATATATCGATAACAATTTGTTCGATAAGAAATAATATCGATAACAGTATTTTCTATAGAAAATATAATCGATAAGACCATTTTTTGTATAAATTCTAGTCGTTAACAATATTTTCTTTAGAAATCCTTTTCGATAACAATATTATCTAGCGATAATATTACCGATAACAAAAATTCCTAAGGAAAATATTATCGATAACAACATGTTTTTTTATGAATTCTTGTCGATATCAAAATGTTGAGTATATATTCTAATCGATAATATTTTCTTTAGAAATTCTTTTCGATATCCATACATTATCTATAAAAAATGTTATCGATAACCATAGACATTCTTCTCCTTCTTATTATTATTAAAATTTTTTTTTTTTTTTTTTTTTTTTTTTTTTTTTTTTTTTTTTTGTCTCCTCACCTATATTTATCTTGAACTTTTTGTTTGATATCAGCTAAATTCTCTGATGTTATATCACGTTCCAAATATTCCGATAATGTTTCTGTCGCCGATTCTAAATCCTTTTGATTATCTTCGAATATCATTGATTGATTGTTCTTCTTTAAATAATACGCAAAAACATACGTATACATTAGAGTTTGACGACATTGGCATAAGATATCAACGGCCTTTTTCAAAAATTGCACCTAGGAAAGAAAAAAAAAGAAAAAAAAATAATGGAGAATTGGAAGAGATTAAAAAACAGAAGTCAATACGCGATAATTTGAACCCAAAAAAAAAAAAAAAATTTGAGTATTTAAAAAAATAAGAGATTTCTTTCAAGAGGCCGATCGATTTAAAATAATCGAAATATTTCTAACAATGAGTTTAAAATTATCGTGTGCCCTTTGTATTTGTATTTGTTTTTTTTTTAACTCACTTCAATCCATGACATATTGTGCTGTTGCATTTCTTCCATTTTATGTTTGACAGAGGCATACAACTTATTTTCAAATTTCAAAGATTGCATATGATTCATATAACGATTATAGTAATGTAAATATCTGAAAACAAAATAAACAAAACTTATTAGAATCTACATTTTTTTTAATTCACATCCCCATACCTTGCTAATGATGATCTAAATTTCTCTTGAGCATCACGTGCTGCTTTGGCTTCATCTTCATCGTAACGATTGCAATTGTACCATGCCGAACCGTGCGGCTCCCACGAACCCAAACATACCCAACAAAAATCATGTTTACAATTTTGATTTTTGCACACCATGTGATTGCAGCCGCCGTCCTTTTCAATTGTCACATTGCACCGGGGACACTCTTTGGTGTTGGCCGCTATCCAATTACTTGTCTCCGAATCATCATCACATTTTTTAATCCATTTCTTTAGCCAACGACACTTGACGGGATCATGCCAATTTTCACCACAAACAAAACAAAATTTGTGGCCACATTTGCAGCGGACCGGTCGTGATTCCACATAGGATACCTTAATTGCATAGGTGCAATCAATGGACGGACACCAGCGTAACAATTGATTGCATTCGACAAAACTATTGGTGATCAGTTGTTGATATTTGACACGGACACGACCATCGTGTACAAGTTTCATAACTGTAACATCATCCACCAATATATCACAGCCGTGGGCGGCACATGAAATTGATTGGCCAAGGCCTTCGGTAACGATTTTCGTTGTTAGATATTCACGCCAGCAGTTTAGGCAGAAACGATGGCCACATTCTAAGCCGGCCATGGACTGTCAATAAAAAAAAAAAAACAAATATTAATAATAACAATTTGAGATTTATAATGAAATTCAATACTCACATCTGAGGGTAATTGTGAAAAGCAAATTTCACATTCTTCAGCTGTATTGGCTTTTGAATTCTGAAAGAAAAAAAAATAACATTAATTTTCTTTAAATATTTTTGAATTTGTATTTTTTTTTATATTATTTACCTTTTGTTTATTGGCATTGGCAGGTTTATTAAATGGATTTATGACATGTGCACCACGGAAAAATTCATCGGTATTACCATCAAAATATTTCTCTAACAATTTTTCTTTGTCCCATTTAAAATGATTTAGAAGGATTCGTGTGACAGTTGGTTGTAGCTAAAAATAAATAAATAATATAAAGAGTAATTAAAATAAAATATTTTTTAGTCTTAAAATCATTATATAATAAATATATATTACATACTGTGTTAGAAACTGAGCATAAAACTTATTTTTAATTGTCCTCTATGGTATGTATGGTAAAAGAACAACAAAACACACATGGTTACATATTGACCAAGTTAACATTACTACAATATCCTTGGCCTAATTTCTAGCATAAAGTGTAACAAAGATTGCTGCCAACATAGATATGTGTTTTTTCTATTCAAAAAATAAATAAGATTGAAATAATTTTTCAACATAAAAAGAATATAAAAATATTTATTTTTTGATTAACTGATCAATTTGTAGTGCATAACCCAGCAAACAGTTTGACGTAAATTCAATCATGTAGTACATGGAACTTTGCCCTACAACTTTTACACATGTTTTGCCTAAATTTCATAGAGTTCGACGGTCATTTTGGATGAAGCGGCAGAGGGTTTCTTCCTGGCATATTTTTTTTCGATTAAATTTATTTATATCATTTACAATAATAAATATCAGTTTTGTTTTTCCTATACCCTTACATGTCAACAAACTAGGCGCCAATTTTAATTCCATTTGTATTGTTGTTGTATTTTCCTTCTTATTTCCTTTCTATTAATCTTCAAAATAGTAAAAATTATTGCCATTTCCTTAAAATTGTTGCTTCTTTGTCTTTATATTCACAATGTTTTGTATATCATTCACAATAACAAAAAAACCATATGATTTATGTCCATTGCACTTTTGCTAACATTTTGTAAAATTTATTTCCTTTTAATATCACTTCACTATTCTCAATTCCTATCGCATTAACACACATTAACTAACGTTAAACAATCATTCACAATAACACTGTCACTTTACATTGTACTGTAGCTACAAAAGGGCGCCATTCTCGTTACTGCATCCTGTTGTTGCTTCATCTTGGTTCACTACCATAATGATTACTTTCCATTTTCTCTTTACCATAATGATTATCTTCCACTAATTTTTCCACCTTAAGTTTCAATTTTGTTGCAATTTTTATTTTCTAAATTACATTTGCTTTAATGCTATAGTGAGCTCTTCATATTAACCTCAGCTGTCATTCACAATAACCACAAATGCAGTTACTGTGCAATGTCATGTATCAATGCATAGTAACTCCAAAGGGCGCAATCATGTGCACTATCACCCCCTTTTTCAATTTTATAATCTCTTTCATAATATTAATTGTAATGGGGCCACAATAACTGTCCTCAGTATGATCTTTTTTAATTTGCTATTTTCTCTTACTCTTTTTCATTTTATTAATTGCTTCCTTTATTTTACAAACAATCATTCACAATAACACTATCAGCTGTCAGCTTACATTGCTCTGTAACTACAAAAGGCCGCCCATTCTCTTCACGTTTCTTTGTTGCTTTTTCCTCAATTTCCCACTCTCTCACACATAATTATTATTTTCCACTATTATTTATCACTCTACATTTTAATATTTTTCTTTTATTATTGCATTTCAATTATTAAATATTACCTTCAATTCTTTTATAAGCATTCAATTAACCTCAACCGTCATTCACAATAAGCTCACTAACTGACAGGTAACTACTGTAACTACAAAATGGCGCCATTCTTGCCACTACGTTTCTTTGTTACATTTTCTTAATTCCCTGATCTGTTTCTCTCATTGTGTTTATTTTGCACTTGTTTTTATTGTTTGACTTAATTTTTATTTTATTTTATTCTTTTAATTACAATCCATCCATTTTTAGCTCCATATTAACTTCATCTGTCATTCACAATAACACTACGACTGACACTACATTCCATTATGATCACTGACACTCTTTATTCTCAATTTTATATTTCTCAAAATAATTATTATTATGGACACAATAAATGTATTTTTTATTTTCCATTTAAACATAATTTCTTTTCCATCTTATTTATTTACACATTATTAATTGTTGCCCTTTTTATTTAATACAAATCAATTGACCTTAAGCAATCATTCACAATAACACTACTCAACTGTCAATCTGCATTGCACTGTAACTACAAAAGGGCGCCATTCTTGTACCAACATTTCTTTGTTAATTTGTTTATCAATTGCCTATTCTCTTACACATAATATTTATTTTCACTTGTAATTGCAGTTAAACTTTCCATTTTTTATGTTTTCCTTTTTTCTATTAATTATATCCCTTCAATTTAAGTGTGAGCTCCATATTAACCTAAGCTGTCATTTACAATAACTACAATGACTGCAGTTACTGTCCAATGTAACCTATCATTGCACCGCAACTGCAAAAGGCGCAATTATCGTTCATAGCGCTCCATTTTATACACTTTCATTACATTACTATACTAGGTATTTATAATTGTCATTCCAATAGTACTTCTTTTTAACATTTATTTATCACTTGCTGTAATTTTTTATGATTTACAATAGAAAACCCCTTGGTAATGGGTTTGGTTACACAATTACTATATCTAGACATTTAAAACATTAATTTCTATTGCAGTTACATATTAGAATTATTACAAGCCTTATCGCTCAATAATTCACAATAAGTGCTTCCCCATTAATATTGCCATTATTTGGCACCATTCTCATTGCAAACATTCTGTTACTCTCAAGTAGGGTTTCACTTTAATATAATTAATTATTTTTAATATTTATTAAATTAAAAAAGAAACAACAAATAGTTATTATCCCCTAGTTATTAGAAATTTATATCAATTTAATGATTCACAATATCCGAAATCACTCATAGGCTATCGCTATACCGTAATTAAACTATAACCACACTTCCAGTCCAAAAGTACATATATATTTAATTTCTATTTATTTTTTTATTTAAATAATGTTGATTCACAGTAACATCAACCATATGCTATCATTACACCGTATCTAAATTAAGTCACTTATTACCACACTTGCCACTATAATAGTCCCAAATTATTCAAGATTAACATTTACTTTTGTTTTCTATTCTTATTTTATTCTTTTTCTATACATTTTATTAATAGGTTTCCCTATAATTTTATATTTATTCTCTATTAATCATCTTTGCTATATAATTCACAATAACCATTACAGATGATGGGCTTGACAGACTGGCAAACGACCTGTCCCATTCAATTACTCTTTTTCTCTCCAGAGATTCTAAGGAATTCTAGACCATTTTTTTTTCTTTTGCTTTTTTATTTTATTCAATAATTTATTCATCCTATTTATTTTTTCTGTAATTTTATATTTATTATCTATTAAACACACCTTCGCTGTATAATTCACAATAACAATAACAGCTGATGAACGGCTTACATTGCACAGTAATTACAAAGGGTCATTTGACAGGCTGACTAACGGCACTGCCTTTATTTGCCAATTAGAATCAATTGACAGACTAGCAAACGTTACTCTTCCGATTTGACAATTAGACTCTTGTTGGACAATTACTCTACGCTCTATCTCTCCTGATCACTGTTTAATCATGAATACTAATTTTGTTACATATTTAATTATATTACACTACCACTTCCACTCTCACTGTTGTATCGCTTCCCCTCTTACAATTAATTTGCTTTCATAAATTTTTATTTTTTTTTTTTGTAATTTATCTATTTTTATTTATTTATTACTCACCTTTATTACCCCCTTAACTTCATCGATTATCTCCCGTTGATGTTGAACAATTTCCTCTGTGGTCAAAACTTCATAATGATAATCATCGGATTCAGCTTGTCGTTCATGCGATGGTGGTATATCATCCATGACATCCATAACAAAATCATCATCGCCATCATCACCGGATGACACATTACCAGAATCCATTTCAAATGAATCTTCATCGGAATCCATGATGAGAGATTTTTCTACGGCTGTTTGTTGCTGCTGCTGATGCTACTGATTACGGAGTTTATTTCAAAACTTAAAAGAGGATGATGACAGATCTCTTGTAATATTTTTTCTTTTAAAACAATGGATTTATTAGCGTTTTTCCTGAGCTAAAATTATATAGGGAAAAGGCAAAAAATAGTTAAATATATATTTTTGGTGTGCGTTGAGAAAATAAAATATTTTCCTTATTCGTGATTTTCTTTGTTAAAGACTATATGATTTTGCTTTTGGGTTTGTAAAGAGAGGAAAAGAAGAAACAGCTGTTGTGGGGGTTTTCTTATTGTTGTTGGTTTCTTGGGAGGGCATCACAATCATGCAGAAGCAGCCAAACGTCACTTGACCTTGTTCAAGTTATATTTCAATTTGCTTTGTATATTTTTTTGTTTTTGTAGCCTTTTTTGCTTGTTTGTGCATGGCTATTCACACATGAGTGTGTGCGTGTGTTTGCTTTCGCACACCTCAAAAGGTTTTATATAGGTGCAGCAGTGAAGAAAAAAATTACGTTGTTTATTTGTTGTTGTAACTCATAAGGGCTTTTTTATCTTGTGTTGTTTTTGTCTATCTACTTATGACACTTGAATTTCTTTGTTTAATTTTTGTTCTTGTTTGTTTTTATATTTTCAATAAATTGTTATTTATTCCAAATTTTCTTTATTTTGTTAAATTAATTTGCTAATCAAACAAACAATTCACAATAAGCACTTCTTTTATTTCATTTGCCTAGCTCTCCACTACAACTCTTATTTGACACCTCCTCGTCGCTCTCACACTCACTCTCAAGCTCTTTGCACTAAAAAAACAACAACAGCGAAGAAAAATGTAAAAAACATGAACAGACAAAGCGACAACACTTGCTTTCATATATACAGAGGTGTGTGTGTGCATGAGTGTATGTTGGAATTTTTTTTATACACTTTTTGTGCTTCTTCTTTTTCGCCGTTGTTTTTTTTTTTTCTTTGCTTATTTCACATTACATAGGATTTATTTTTATATAAAAGGCATGAACATTTTTTTCTTCTGTTACATCCCTTTCAACAATTTGAAAGGTTTTCTTTTTATATATATACGTATATATTTTTTTAATCAATACACACCAACACATTAACAAAAATATTATATTAAAATGGAAACAACAACACATCAGAGTTCAAGGCTATTAACACAAATGGGGCCAGAGCACACAAAGAAAGGAAGGAATGAAACGGAGAAAAAAATCACAATCATTGTAGGGGGATTTATAATTTATTATTTTATATATAGATTTTTTTTAATTCACTAACATTTTTATAATTGTTTATTCTGAATAGAATTAGTTTTTCGAAAAGAAACACAAAAACGCGAAACACACAAAAGCAACGAAATAGCCAGCCAACTGAGAAACGACAAAAAAAACGATATTGGAACTGACGTCCTAAAAAAATGCAGTTAATTTCCAATTGCAATGAAAAAGCAACCATGCCACAATCTAAACGCCAGCAAGTGGAAATGTAACAGCCATATATTTGCCATACAACTTATTTCACCATCTCTTTCTCATACATACACACACAGAGATGAAAATACTCTTCATCAAAAGAAAGAAAACGAATGATTTTTTTCCCCCGAACAACACACTCACACACACAGCGTATTATTATTAGCTTTTAATTGCACACAGAAAATATATTTGTTTTAAACAAAATGTAATTACATTAATTTGTTGTTGTTAATTTAATTAACTAAAATGTGAATTTGTTTTTTTGTCCAATTCTTTTTTATTATTGTTTTTTTTATGCACGAAATAAACCGAGATGTCAGCAGCTACTCTACTAGAGAAACGAACCCGACTAGTCAGGGTAATGTAGGTCGTTAGATGACTAATTGATTAGTTATGGTTGACATATCGATTAGTGATGACAGTGAGGCAAAAGTCGATCTATATAAACCTAATATAAAATGATTTATAAATGGGAGAATTTGGGCATTAATTTAATGCAATTTAAAGAATTAAATAATAAAGATAATAATAAAAAATATATTTTCTGTCTTGTTTTAATTGTTTTCTATTAATAAATCACTTAGAGTTACTATTGTGAATTGTGATTACATGAGATTAAAACTTAAGGCAGGTACACATTAAGGAACATAAAAAAGAACATTCAATTAATCGTTTTATAATAAAAAATCAGACCATTTGAATATCAATTTCCCATAAATATAAAGAATAAAGTAAAAAAGAAACACAAACAAATATATAAATGATGTCAATAAATCATATAGCAAGTTTACATCCAACATTTCAAAAAACCTACAAATCAAACTATGAATTTAAAATAAATCTTTTTAAAGTAAAATATAGAGAATTAAATATGAATTAAAAAAATAAATCTTTTTAAAGTAAAATATAGAACATAAAAAAGGATCGTTTATTATAAAAAAAAAACAACAATTTATATATCAATTTTCCAATAAATATGAAAAATAAAATAAAAAGAAACAAGAAATATGTAAATAAAGTCAATAAACCAAATTAAAATTAGTTTTAGCTTTATTTTTGAAATTGGCTTAAATACTGAAAGCAAATAAATAGAAAAATTGAATTGAAATTGCAATACTGCTGTCTTACGCTATTGTGAATGAAATAAAGAAAGTGATTTTTAAACAAGTTTTTAAATTTATTTTTTTTATTAAGGTTGTGTTTTTTCTAAACGTCTTAATAAATAACTAATTAGTCCGCTTTTCCACAGGCAGATTTTTTTGGCAATTTTTTTTGTTTTCTCTTTTGAAATTTTCGCTTGCTTTTCCATTAGAAAATTTTTTTTTGTCAAATTTGCGAATCAAAATACAAAAGAAAGAAAAAAACATCAAAAGTGTTTGCATTTTACAGATTTTTTTAATATTATATTTATTTTTTATATGATTTATTATATAAATTGCAAAAATTAAAAATTACATTTCACTTGCACAAATTAAAGCAACAGGTTTGTAAACAAAAGCCGGTTGTGTGTCAGTAAAGCGAATAGGTTCAAAAGGAAATGTCAACAAAATTGTTTTCAACGAACAGAGCAAAGCAGAATTTGCGTGTACGGCAAATTCTGAACAGGCAAATTTTTTTTTTCTTCCCCGCACCCCTCTCGCCGACAAACTTAGTATTTGCCAAATAAAAATTTGCCTGTGGAAAAGCACACTTATGAACTACAACCCTTGCTATTTTGAATGATAATTAGATAATTCAAAAATCATTACCAAGAGGTTTTCTATTGTGAATGATAGAAAAAATTACAGCAAGTCATAAATAAATACTATGGTAATAACAATTGCTGTATGTGACATTTAAATATAATAAATTATATTAATATAATGAAAGAGAGAGTATAAATTATAGAGCTTGGAACGATAATTGCGCCTATGCAGTTACTATGCAATGATTGGTTACATTGCACAGTAATTGCTGTCGTTGTGGTTATTGTGAATGACAGCAGAGGTTAATATGGACAGCTCACTTTAAAATGAAAAAAACTATAATTAAGAGAAGAAAGGAATGTAAATACAAGTGAAAATATATATTATGTGTGAAAGTGTAGACAATTGCGAAAAAAAATTAACAAAGAAACGTTGTGAAGAGAATGCCGCGGCCTTTTTGTGGTTACAGTGCAATGTAAACTGACAGTTGATTGTGATTTAACTGATTAACTGAAGTTAATATAAAGCTTACTATAAAAATAGAAGGATTGTAATTAAATGAATTAAATTGAATAAAAATGAAAGTTGAGCAATAAAAACAAGTGCACAATAAGGCAATGAAAGAAACAGTGTAAGGAATTGAGAAAATTTAACAAAAAAACGTAGTGACAAGAATGGCGCCCTTTTGTTGTTACAGTGCAATGTAATCTGTCAGCCATTGTGGTTATTGTGAATGACAGTTGAGGTTTATTGGATGCTTATTATTAGAAAATTGAAGCAAATATATTCAATTAATTACAATTAATTAATAAATATTTTAAAAAATGAATGGCGAATAATAAATACAAGTGAAAAATAATAGTTATGTGAGATAGACGAGTGGGGAATTGAGAAAAAACAACAATGAAACGTTCTAAAGAGAATGACGCTAAATTGACAGTTGATAGTGTTATTGTGAATGTTAATTGATTCATGCTAAACAAAAGGAAAATTTTAATAAAAATAAGAAAAAGATAGAAAAAAGTAAATTTGAACGGAATATACTGAAAACAGTCCTTTTTGCTTATAATAGGAGAGTATGAAATTAAGAAAATTAAACATGACTGCGGCTTTTGCAGTTACGGTGCACTGACAGATAACATTGCACAGTAATTGCAAATGTGGTTATTGTGAATGACAGTTTAGGTTAATATGATGCCCACTATTAAATTAAAGGAAATAAATGTAAAAGAAAAGAATAAAAAACGGAAAATGGCGATGGAAACACAAGTGAAAAAATCTTTTGGGTAGGGAACAGTAGTAGAATTGAGAAAAGGCAACAAAGTGATGTAATGAAGTGAATGAGACTCTTTTGCACGGAAACAACGAGCAAAATTTTTTTATATTAAACATGAGAAAAAATTGCTGTTTTCGCATTGATCTTACGAGACAATCAGCTGTTCTTGCAAGGTGAATATACTCGTTATGTCCTTTTTTATTATTTTTTTTTTAATTTGTTGATATTATTTTTCTAGATTCCTACTTAAAATCGCTTGAATGACATTACCGTTTACATTTGTTTTTTTCCTCTCTTCTTCTTCTTCAACTGTCAACGGCCAATGGGTGGCCATATCATCTGTTTTCGCTCTTCATTGTTGTATTGCTTGTTGTTTAGTATTGCTGCAAATCTGAAACGGCGAGAGACGTCGCGTTATTGTGAACGGATAAAAACAAATTAACAGAGAATGAAAGAAAAGAAAAACATTGAAAAACAAACAATTAATTTGACAGTACGACATTGAAGGGTAAGTAATCGATTATTTAAATT